CAGGCAACATAGTGCACTGTCCTATACGGTTTTGTGTTAATAGCATTAGACTGACTTCATGTGTGCTCGGGTCACTTTTTGTCTAATCTCTTGCAAACAATTTGAATAAACAAAGTAAACGCTAAAAAATCAAAAGCGGTCCTGTGAGGAACTTTGATTTTTGGTGACCCCCGTTGACAATGCAGTCTTTGCTGATTTCGTTCTGTACATGTGAAAGTCGTGTTTAACAGTCAAATCACTCTTCAAGAATCTTTGCTGTGGACATTGTAAAAATTGCTGTTTGGCAGAATGCAGTTAATTAGGCTACTTCATCTGACACCTACTCTGCGGTAACACTTTAAATTATGTTACAATATTCACCATAAAACTGATTGTTGATTATCAGTAACATACTGGCTGCTTATAAGAAGGGCTCTTATAAGGATTGAGAAGGCAAAACATAATAAGATCATAATTAATGTTCAACAGCTTCCTAACTTATTATTAATAAGCAGTAATGAGGAGGGTATTGAGGGCAAACTCTTAGTTATGGAAAGGCAAAGGTCATGTAGAATAAGGTACTAATAAGTGCTTATTAATGTCTTATAAGCAGTCAGTATGCTACTGATTACCATGCTGATAAGCAACTAGTCAATGATAAATAGTGTGACTTTAAGTCAGTTAAGTGTTACCATGATAGCTAAATGGAAATAATCTACCATGTGGATTATGTTCTTGTTTGCTTAAGTTCGTCATTTAGAGGCATCAGTATTGAGTTCAGTCTGTTTCATAACAAGCTAAAACTCCTTGAGATTAAACTCTTAAAAGGTCTGAAAGGTTAATCAAAGATTTTATTTTAGCAGCAATCTTTAACTGGACATAAGTAGTATTGGTTTTAATGTTAGCAGGAGCATAACTGACCTGAGACAAACCAATATCTTGTTCATACCATAATGGTAAGGATAATTGTGTACTTGGGAGATTTAAATGGATTTAAATATGTTATTTTTTTTCTTCATTTGCCCCACTAAATCAATTGGTATTGGGAGCAGCACAAAACATAGAGATGTTAAATGTAAATGCAAAATGCTTCACCTCATGGTCATACTACTCCCTCCACTACATTCACAGTGGAAGATTCACAGTACACACAGGGTCTTCTGCTGTCTACTAGGGCAGTGAGATATTGATTTCCCTGCTTGTGGACCTTGGTGATACAGTTGATGACTGACAGGAGATAGTTACACCTTCACAGATGTTCCAGTCCCAAGGCTGGAGAATCAGTTTATGAAAAACACTGGCTTAAATGACTGAGTGGAAAACTGTCAGATGCAGAGCACACATATTTCATAGCTCTGACTTGGAACATGCAGCAGCTGCTAAAATTACTTAAGCATGTTACCATGGTGACCACTAGATTGTGGATATACTGTATGTTTAACAAACAAAAGGCTTAAGACATTGGGTAAATAATTGATGAGGGCAGAAAGAGCATAGTCTGAAAACAAAATTGGATGACATAGAAAAATTGAATTGAAATCACACTTAAACTTTAAAACACATTGAAACAATATTGTATTAGTGTTTCAATTATGAAACCAATACATTTTGGAATAAGTAACCGGGTGTGTTTGAAATCTAAGTCTCTTCACTCTCTCTATCTTTTAGGGTTGACAACCCATACGTGCATATCTTGCTGTACACAAAAATGCCCTTGCCATCCAACAGCTTCCACAGCTTTACTACAATGAAGCAGAGGTGCTAACCTCTATCTACAGTGTTCTCCTTTTTAGATTGCATTTACTCCCCTCTATGTTATGAAAATTCCAATGAAGAGACATAGTTGTGGGATTTGATCCTACAACCTTCTTGATTTGAAGCATCAAATGTAAACCCCTACAGCACCTTGCTGCTCTGCAGTATTTGCCTGTTTTAGTATTTTGAGTCTCCATTACGTTATGATAATTCAAAGGATGGGCCCTTGCAAGGGGATTCAATCTGGAAACCTCTTTGCTCTTAGGTGGCAGCACTAAAACTTACACTGCCGCCCTGAAATGTTTTCCTTTAATACATGTATTCTTTATTACACCATGGTCATTCTAAAGAAGGAGCTGGGGGATTTGAACAGAATCTATAATCACCTAAAGAGAAGGCCCCAGACAACGGATTCAATCTTAGAGCACTGTTCCACTTTTCTGCAGGTCTTGCTGTCACTGTTTTATTTTGTTGGGCTTTATTAGATATCTTTTAGAATTTATTTCAATCATTTGTTGAAATAGTACACTTTTTTTTCACATTAACATAGGTAGTTTCATCTTCTTCCTTGACATAGTCAGAAATCAGAGAGGAACCCTTAAGTCTGTTTTAAAACACAAAAAGAAACACTTCAACATACCAAAGATACAACATATAACTCCAGGTGCTACTTCTTGCACAGTGGTAATGCAATTACACAGTACATGAAATTTATTTTGTTCCACTTTGATTATGTATTTGGCATTCAGAAGCATACTACACTGACAGGCGTAAAAAATAAAAGTTACTGAAGAAAGAGAACAATGCATTACTTGAGCATGGGATAATGCACTGTGATGTGATAAAACAAACTATTGGTTATATCGAAATGCATTTTGATACTATACGTTTGAACAAAAAGAGTTCAGAAATGAGGAGTATAAATACGTTGGAAGACATACAGTACATATCACTATATTTGACCAAAAATATAGTATTTATATATCCTGTCAGTCGTTCCCTGATTTGTTTGCCCTCCCCATGGCACTACCTGGTCCTGCAGTGGAATCAATTCCAGCAGCGTCTGAGAAACCCCAGAGCTGACAGGCTTAAAGAGGAAAATAAACTTGTAACATGTCTCTCACTGCATATCAAATGCCTGGGCTGTGCAGGAACTTTTAATGTTTGCTTATGGCAAACCTAAGCTGTCATCTCATCTGTACTCTGTATATATTTCATGCTTTTTAAAATGGAATTCCTGCCATCATCCATATGATTGACACAGATATGAAAAGGAACTTGGTGTAGAATCTGAAATCCACTAGTTTTTATAAGCCCTGATGTAGCTAGGAGGGAGAGAAGGCAAACAATTGCCTGTAGCAAATTACTTAATACCAAATCAAGATTACCTATTTGTTTGTACATACAAAAATAAAAATATCACAGAAAAATATGACAGCTAAAACATTATGAAACTCACCACCTGTCATAGCTATGTGTTTTTTTTCTTAGTTTTTCCCTCTTGTTTGATTATTGACCATTTGTGCACTTTATCACCATCACCTCTGTATAATAACTTAAGCAGAATCCTATACCATTCTACATACATTCCCCTTGGCACAAAATCTGCCTGCGTAGGCTACTTAAGAGACTATTTGTATCCAGTGAGGTGCTGGATTACAGGATTTGCATTTTAAAGGGTGTCAGTGATGGCAGCTGGAGGAAATTGTTGAATGCAATTGTAGCAATGCAATAAAAGATCTGTGATGTGAGTCGAGCTCAGTAACCTAAATGACAAACCTGCTCCTGCCAACCACAGATCCTCTAATACCCACAACATTAGACAAGCTATTACCCTGCCGGAGCACTGGAGATAAAATATCTCATCCTGTGTACATGTAAACGTAACAGGGGGAATAAATATAGTACAGCCTTACCCTAAAATATACCATGTAATGTGTATACTTAATCAAGCCTACCCTTTTTGTTTTGAGGGATAGTTTTTCCCAGAGCTGGTAACAAAAACATCCCATTCTACAATAAACTAGGGAGCATCTGAAGCCATTTTCCTTTGTTTTTTTTTCTTCATTTAAAGCTTTTATGGATAATGCACTATAGTTAAACAGATTAATGTCCTCGCTGTGGGGTAAAATTGTTTCTATAAAGTGCAGGGAAATTGCACTGCTCAAATTTCCCTCAGACTGCCCAAAGTGCAGGGATGGCAGCATTTCAGGAGAGAAATAATAGATTTTGTTTTGATCTGTGGAGCATGGAGTTGTCTGTCCCAGGGGCCTGCCAGGGTTAAACTCTGATCTGTACACTGTGACTTGCCCAGGGCTGTGTGTGTGGGGTTATTAAAAAGAAATATTGCTTCATAAAAACCCTCTGCACTGCAGCCACGACTCCTGTTAATGCACACTGTTGTTGGAGTATGTCTCTGAGAGTGGAAATGGGATTTTTTTTTAATCTGTCCTGTGATTGAAAAGACAATTGCCGTTTAGCATGTGAACCCCTGACCCTCTCTGTCCGATAAATTGAAATACACCTTTGAGAGGAATATTTACCTATTGTATTATAGTTCATACCAATTCACCTCCCATACTTACGGACTAATGTAATGAACTAAAGCTAAAACAGTGCCCAGTGTTAATAGCATCCATCTCCAGTGGACATTTGCACTGCAATTTGCAATTTAAACAGTCTGCAGTGGCCATCTGGCCATGGGAGATGACCAAAGGACATTTTACCCTTGAGTTATATGGGGTGGGGGCGCACTGACCAGAAGGGCTTTTGAGTAAACAGTATTAACCTACTTTATCAGTCTAAAATCTCAATGTAAAATTTACATTCAACACAATTCCTAGTGAAAAATCCTTGTCAATGAATAATTATACAGGAAACAACCCGGAGACTATCAAGTTAACCTAAGGATTAAAACATTAGCAACAGCCTAATTGATCAAGTTTGAGAAACCAATGATTGCTCAGTTCTCTTCAATGGATAACTGAGACCAAAAACGCAGCACTTTGAGCTCGGTGCTGATAGGTCTATTTTTTTTTGTTATTCATTATTATCTTATATTTTGTATATTTCTTTCTTCTTCTTTTTTTTTTTTTTAACTGTGGTCGCTTCCATGCAGTTGTGACAGGTATTATCGGTGTTCAACAGTCAGAGGCGTTTCAGAACTCCGGTAGGTGGCAGTGAACGTCTCAGGTAGGGAGGGCAGGTTGTGGGGGGGCGTGTGTTCCTCTTGCACAAGCGCTCCCATGTTGCGTAGTCTGGAAACCTGACGTGGAGAGCAGCGGAGCGGTGAGTGACACACAGAGTTGCGGCGGGGCAAGATCACAAAGTGCCCGTGGCAGCGCGCGCGGACCGACACAGTCGCACGAGACTGGCGACACGCTCAGACACCGGTCGACTGGCCGCGTGTGACCCGAGGATCCCAATTTGACGGACAGACTCTGGCTCCGCTGGCAGGAAAAGGTGGAACTAAACTACATTTTGACTTGAGAGCGATGCACTGGAAGCATGGCCAAGTGGTTCAAGGAGCACCTAGGATTCAAAACTACCAAAGCACCCCCTCCGGCTCCTCCAAAACCGGACTACAGACACTGTCACACCGGTGTGCCCGGAGCGCCTGGCTACCAACAAACAAGCTCCGGGGCCACCTTCCCCAGCCCCGCTCAGCCGGACATCCTCGCTGCTTACAAACTACAAAAGGAGCTGGACTTCGAGGACCCGTACACTCCAGGTGGAAATATTACATACGGCTCGAGCTTGAACACTGTGGGGTCACCGGACATCAAGTATGTGTCCCCCAAACACCGACTTATCAAGGTGGAAACTATCGAAAAGAGCAGCCCAGCTCCGGGTAGCGGTGTCACAGTCACACAAGCTGTTGCTGTGGGGAGTGTTAAATCTCCCACTTCACCTCACTCTGAACAAGACAACAAGGAAAAGGTGGGTGAAGTTAAGTCATGAAATCAGTCGGTGTCAAAACATAGAGACAACCATACAAGTGCTACTGCTTACATTAATGCTGAGAATCTTAAATTAGACCACAAACCTGATAAAACAATGTAGGTTAATCGTTACTGTAGCCAACTAAACGTGTATATTTTAGGCTAATTACTTAATAAGTGGCCAACTATTACAAATCCTTCTCATTCAACTGTTGCCAACTCTATCAAAAATGAAACATGGACTGCTTTTGAAACACTTGACCTACACCTGTAAGGAATGAATCGTTACAACCGGCAGAACTTGTTATCACAACCACACACCGTCCGTCCACAAGAGTTGCGACATCCTCCTCAGTCTAATAACTAACCTGCACTACAGGGAGTGCTGTGGAGGGAACAGTGTTGACACACTGCTCAATATCTGAGTGTGACAATTGTAATATTGCGCTTACCTTCAGTGTTAGTTAACTTGCTGTAAAGTGCTGAAAACTCTGCTCTGAATCTGCAGCTTATCCCCCGCTACAGTGTGATGTAGAGTTATTAACAGTGGCTGTGTAATTGAACTTTAATCTAATCTTTTTTTTACTAGATGGATCAATTTTGTGACTGTTCTTTTTGCAGTGATGCCTTCTGCCATTGGGGAAGGATTACCTGTGATGGCTTTTGCGAAATATGGCTTTAATACGAGTCATTCTTGGCACAGGTCTCTAGATGTGACAACACAAGCCTCGTGCCTTTTCACTGAGTGAATGTGGAGTCAGACAGGCAGGCAGGCAGGCAGGCAGGCAGAATGCATCCATGCTTTGCCTTGGAGCAGCACACTGTCATGTCAGGCCTGCCAGGAATTCATACACACAGAGGTTATTTGGAGAAACTTGAGATGTTCAGTGTCAGTGGGGTTGAGGACATACCATATGATGATTGTGACCCTACTGTGGAATGTTTCAGAGCCTGCATTTACACAGGAGGAAGCAGGGCTCTGTGAAAATGCACCAGTTCCTCCTTAGATCATGTCCCAGTCACACCTGTGCAGGAAAAATGTTGTGTTCATTTTGAATTTTTTCGCTTCTCTGCACTTCCTCTTGAGTTTGCTTTCACACCTGTCTTGTGATATTTGGCCAATTCACAGTTGGTCTAAGTTGAGCGCTTTTGTTCATGTTCCACAGTGTCTGCAGCCTGTCACAGCAGTAATGTGTGGTGGGCACTTGTTTAGTTTTGCCCCTGAATTGATCACACAAAACACAAACGTAACTGTCAAGGATATTCCCTGAAAGACCTAAATGCAGAGATGGGGAAGGTCTGTCTCAAGCAGTCAGACACTTTCTTGCAGCAGCTCTCGTGAATTTGGTATACAAGTTTAATAATCCTACAGCTACGTGTTATCAGTGAAATAAACAGGAAACCAGAATTTACATTTTTCATCCATCTACTACAGTTGTTCAAGCTGATTAAACAGATTATAGTTGTCTCATGTTAATTGGCGCTTATATCCCACCCAGTCAGGAATCCAGTTGCCACTGCCCCTCCTCCTTCTCTCTGCATGTGCACATATGGCTTTAACAGGCAGGCAGATGATTGTATAGTTTGGTCTAAGTACCTCACACCTCACAGTCTAAATGATGTTATGGACAAGCTAAATCAGTACTGACAGCTGGCGGGCTTAAGCAGTATGACAGGAGAAGGGGTTTAAATGTTTCCTGTCAGGTGCTGAAGGTTAAATAAAAATGGTTTAATGGTTGAGAGGGAAGTTTAAGGGAAAACAAGAAGGCTGGGTCTAACTGAGGATTTTGTCAGTCATATCGGAATTTGCCGTTCGTATTCAAGCTTTGACCATTTGTTAACACACAAAGCATGTCTATCACTCTGCATTATTTACATGTCTTAACGTCAAGAGTCAAGACACACATGAATCAGTCATCCAGAAGCACCGGCTGTCTGCCAGACATTATAACATTTTCAGGCAACAATTTTCAGAATTTTTCTAGTCAACATTATTTTGAAATGTTTTTTGTTTTTTTTAGCCATTTGGCATATGTAAACAGAGACAAAAAGTAGAGCTACGTTAGCGGCAGCTCAGCACGCAGTCCCTAAAGCCTCGAAAATGAGAGAATCTTGTTGAGTTAGGAACAGATTCTTATTGTAAAACTGTGCTTTTCCAGTCCATTTGTTTTGGAGCAGACAATCTCACTGTGGACAATTCAACTCATTGTTAAAAACCTCAGGAGCCATGAGAACTGACTGAATCCTCACCCAAAAACAAACAGAGCATCTACAAATAAGCTATAGTGGCAGCTCAGCTCACAACTTCTTTTCATGTCATGATCCCGCAAAAGGCGCTACAGAGAAACTCTCAACTTTAACTTGAATTTGCTTTTGCAATTTCTTTACCATTTTTATTCACCAGGTCTGTTTGTATTGGAGAGGAGGAGATGTCTTTGGATAGTTTTTGACCTTGTATGGATTATTCAAATTGTAGAATTTTCTGGAGCTGCACTTCAGATTATTTTTGTAGTATTTATATTCAGGTTGTTTGTACACTTTCAGCAACCGGAGATATTCATTGTTCCACCATTAGATATTCTTACCATGTGTCTAGCAGAGTATTAAAAAGCTTACATGTACTTAACAATTAGTCTGTGTTGTTAAATGTATGACAGCATAATTTGCCTTTGTAAAAGTTTGTCAGTTTTCCACTTATGACATCCTGCTGAGTTGAGTGCCTTCACTGCAAGCTTTACTGTTAGTCATCTGACACCCTCAAGAGGAAAGGGAAGTGTGTAGCAGGAATACCTTGAAGGAAAGTATGTCGCCTTGCTGCCTCTGTTACATTTGTTGTGTTTGATTGTGTTTTTTAACTGTCAAATATTGAAAACCAATACACAAGTGTGTTGCCTTTTAAACAAAGGATTAATTAGTAATTAGCAGAAGAACCCCTTCAGATAAGTCTCAGTGCTCCTCAGTAACTACACTGTTGTTTCAGAACTGGGAGGCGTTTATGTTAAAGCTTTTTATGAGGATTACTGGTTGTCTAAAAGCTAAGGATTTTCTTTCCAGCTGTGGCCGGCCATGATAATTGTTTATAAATCCTTGTTACAGGTACTCTCCAGGTGATTTTAGAAGAGTTGTTAATGTAGGATTGTCCCATTATTGAGACAAGGCTTGTAAGAACAGTCTCTGTGGGAGGATGCGCTGTTTGCTGCTTGTTTTACACACTCTCCCTTCAGGCTATAGTGTTGAAAGGTTGAAAGTGTACGAGTTCACATTATGTGTTCTTGTTTGGTTTTATAGCTGATTTTCTCAGAGATTTATTTTCACAAACTAGGGAGACATTCCGGACAGAGATTAAAAAGAAAAGAGAAAGTGTATTTCATGCTTGTGGCTCACACACGGCCACACTCACAGATACACCGTCATCCTTGTGATAGTAATTGGAGTCAATAGCTTCACAGGAACTCTGTTGTCTTACTAACTAAAGCACAGACTAAACGCTGACTGACTGAGCAGAGAACACACGAGTGGCTTAACAGCACTGCTTGGTCACATTGATGTTTTAATTACTTGACTCATGAATGCTAATTATATCACTGCCTTCCTAATGCCTGAGATGCCAATAGCAGCATCAAGTGAACTTTCTACAGTCCCTTTCTGTTCACCAGGATTCCAGACTGAAAGATAAAGGAGTTCTACTCCAAAACATAATTCATGCACAATATTATCTATGTTGTTTTTGCATGACTGTCATGATCCAAGAGGTGTCAATTTATTCAGAAGATTTCTTCCAGTGTTTTGGAGAAGCACTCTTAATATTTAATCCAGATTGCTTCTTGTAGTTTGTTTTTTTCAAGACATTGTGATGTGTTTTGCTTTGAATAATGCCAAGCCCTTCACGGTAGAGTAAGTTGAGGAAGATGATCAATTATCATCCTGGCTTACAGCTAATTAAAGGCCTCATCTCCCGGCTCATCGCACTACTCAGCACTAACAGAACTTCTCTCAAGGACACCGGAAAGGGATGACGGGCTCATCTTGGAAATGTGTAAACAAAAGCAGCATAGCACAGAGCTGACAGGCCGCAGCATCCTTGTAAAGATCAGCCCGCCATCATCAGTGTCTGTCTGTGCACCTGGGAAGCTGCTGTTACAATCTAACTGAAGCGCCCTTCATGGCTCAGGAAACCTTTGACTCTGTGACTCTACCAGCCAGCTTGCATAGCTATCTATAGAAACCCTTCAGTTGGCTCAGGAGCCAAGAGAATGCCAACAGAGAGAGCTGGATCTACAGATTTCTTCATGGCTTTTTTCCCTACATCTCCACCAAGCATTTTTTTTTTAACAAGACCTCGCTCAGCATTACGATTGATTTTTGCTAGAGGTGGGAAACAAGCACTGTCTACGCCAAGAAAGTTGTGTCTTTGATCCTGTTGGGATGTGTGTGTGATTTTGAATGATATCTAAAAATACAGTCAACAGATGTTGGATGGGAAGTAAGGCCTTAGGTGAAGGAAGAATTGAGAATGTTTCGGTGCAGATCCTGTCGATAATCTAATCTGGATTTTATTGGTTTAAGAAAAATTTTGATGGATAAAAATGGATACTGCCTTCTTTAAGATTGAACATAATAATAAAAAAAATATTTACCAGCATAGTACACAGACTCTTTGTTTTAATGTATCTTCGGTATTTCCCTTTCTAACCTAAGCTCTACATACCTGACTCTGTATTTACAATATACTTAGCAGCAAAAATGTGTCAAAGTTCAATTTAATTAAAGGCAGTGACACTTCATTACAGACTGCCTTAGAATAGATATTTCTTCCTCTTGTCTTTTACATACTTTTGAGTCCATAATGATCAGATTGAGCTTCAGGGGGGGCGGTGTTGTACGTGCAAGAGCTGAATTACATATTCACCAGATACACCTGCCAGGCTGGAGTTTTCTTGCGTGAGTAGAAGGCCTGTTTGCCTATTCTGTAGATTACAGTGTCTGCAGAGCACAGCT